TTCTCCTTACCAACCTCGGCTAAGCTGGGTAGGGAACGTGCCCTGAGACTTCTCACCAGAGGGGCAGCCTGTGCGAACGCAGAAACAGAAAAGAAGGGGAAAGCGCTGAACCTGGGGCAACCCATGTGGATTTCATTAGCACCAGGCAACATACTCCCAATTTAATAAGGACTCCCAGTGAGGACATGAGCTAGAGCAGAACCCGGCTCTGACTTCAGGCTACCCAGGCAATAGGTCAGTGAATAAATTAAGATGCTCTCCACCAGGCCCAATGGACTTCTGTTCTCATGGAGGTGAGATCATTGCAGTACTCTGAATTTGGTGGCACACCCTTTGTCCCAAGCTTAAAACAAATCTGGGTCTTTCCTGTTTGAGGAATTTACTTATATGCGAAGTTTTATAAGGACATAAAAGTTACGTGAAGTTACATGTTTAACTGATTAACCAAAAAATAGGAATAGATAAAATCAAAACCTCTCTGAAAAGCTGATGATACCAGTATGGAGTATTTAGGGGAAAAAAATCACACATGTCAGAAAAAATCAAGAACATTTAAGAATCATTTCTTTCCTCTCTACTGTATTCCATCTACTTCAGTTATCTAATTAAAGGCCAGCTAGTAGTCTGTGGCTATCATGGAGCTAGGTCTAAAATGGAAAATTGATAGGCATATAATATAATTTTTTGTGATCTTAATCCTTTCTTATGGCCTATAAGTGACATTTATATTTTTTCTGTCTGTCTCTTTTTTCCTAATTTAATATGATTCTTGGTTTTCCCAGGCTATGCCTCACACATTAACATGTTTGAGTTCATTGAAGGTGGTTGATTACACTCTTGTTTGTTTGTGCATGTACTTTCTTTCAAATGAAGGAAACGAAGGAGACTATGATTTGCTTTCCCTTCCTTTCCCCGGCCTGTGTGGGCAGGAAGATATAAAGTAAAAGTAATTAGGCTTAACCCCTGATTTCTTAATACATTTTTTAAAAAAACTTTTCTATCAAAAAGTGTTTGTATTTACAAATAGAGCACTGTGTGTGTATTAAATATATATTTAAAATTGAAATCCTCACCTGAAGAGAGTAAAAGGAAAGGAGAGAGAGAGAGAGAGAAACATCAATGTGAGAGACATTTATCAGTTGTCTCCCATAGGTGTCCTAAAGGGGCTAGAACTTGCAACCTAAGTATGTGCCCTGACCAGGAAATGAACCTGCATCCTTTTGGTTTATGGGATGATACTCCAACCAACTCAGCCAGCCTGCCAGCACAGGATATTTTTTAATCTATATTACTATTATCCAATTTGAACACTAATTTGGAATTGATTACTTTGCTAGATTATGAAACAACTGCAGCAAAATTTCACAAATAGAAGTTCACAGTAAATTAATGGAAAAGCCAAACATCTGCTTATGTATTCCCATTTCTGCAAATTCCAGTTTATATTAAGTTTTGTATGGGATATTATTTAATAGGAATCAACTCTTTCTGGAACAAAAAAAATCAATTATCATTCTTAATTCAACTAGTGTCTTCTATTTAATAAATCAATTCTATGGCAGTTAAGAAATGGAAATATTTGAGTATCCTGGATAATTTGATTGAGTGTTGCAAACACTAAGTTATTTATGCATTTGTATTTTTAAAAATTAGACAAAGAGCTGGAGTATAAATGGATATGGACTAAATTTTTATTTAGAAATATTTTAATTTAAACTGATCATGATAAAGTTCTGTCACTGTCACTCCTTTTACACACTTCTCCAGAGAGGTGTGTAAAGCCACTTTATTTTTGTACTCACAGAGAATTTTAATTCTGAAATAGTAAAAATGTGAGAAAGTATTAGAAGAAACATATGTGACCAGCACAGGGCGACTTTGACTCATTCCAAGCCTCTCTTCTGAGAAAAGTCTCTCTTCCTTCACATCTTGAGGGAGTGCTGGGAGGGCAGTCATGATGGGCGTGCAGCCAGGGCAGCCCTGGGCCACAGAACAGTACAGATTCCACACATTTTCCTCAATGGTCGCTCATGGGGGTGAGAAAGGCAGTAGGGTGCTTTGCGAGGCTCCTTTGCATAATTTGGAAATGGTGAGACACAAACAGAGCCCAGCTGGCCTTGTTTAATGTGAAGTCATCAGTCCCCACCCTTCCTATTTGTCACCTCTGCCTGCTTAACCCAGTTATGCATCTGCCCTGTCCCCATCTGTATCCATTGCCTTTTGAACCCTGCAGTAAAAAACTGCACATCACAGCGGCTTCTTCATATAAGGTACCCACAGAGAAATCATGTCTTAAAATAATAGTGGTGATAACTTCCTGGTAAATGCAAGTTCCCCACCTCCGCTCTGCCCTCAGTCTATCAGGCCCTGGTGTAAATTACTTTGGTCACATCAAACTGAGCACTGCATTGTTGACATGGAGGGCAGGACTACTCTGGAGCAAAAATCAGTGTGAGCTCTATTGGAGGTGCCAACCCTGAGCAGAAAGGACAATTTTGGACAATCTAAGGATGTTATGGGAGCACTCGGGACCTGGAGAACAGGGAGTGAGGGCAGCAAGCAGAAGAGGGGATTCCACAGAGTGAGGTGGCCTAGAAAGAAAGAAACTTTCGCTTCCTTTCCCATGGGAGCAGCTGGCATGTCCTGTGAAGACTTTGCAGGGCTCCTTTGTATAAATTTGCAAAGCTGTGTATCTCAGGCTATCCAATCTCCCCACCCATGGCAGATTTCACCTCCTTAGCCAGTCCCCACCTGAAGAGGAAAGAATGAGTGTCCTGTGAGAGGAGCACAGGTGGCAACTGTCAGCTTGTCAGAGGAGGGAAAAGAGGTTAGACACTGCACTCCTGCCTTGGGCTTCCTCTTCCCTCAATGCCTTCAGTTCAATTCTCACAGCTTTTCCTTGAGAAAACTTCTATTCCTTGCAAATTTGAGTGTCTACTATAAAATAAGGCTATTTAGAGAATTAATACATCTAAATCAGTGTTTTTCTTTCCTCACAAAGAAAGGAAGACACTGACATCACCTGAAGGGAACTTCTAGAAGTTAAGATAAAATCATGTACAGACATGCAGATTCCATTCAAGGAATGGTTTCTTGGAAGAAGTCTGTTGGAATATCAGACTATTACAAGTTTCCATCAGCAGAAACTTGCTGGTTATCACAGAATTAAAGCTAAAAGGTAAAGGAAGCAATGATCTCCAATCAGCAGCAATTATTTTTAAATTGCAATAAAACAAAAATGCAATTGCCAATAAAAACAATTCATGTACTTTGGTTGTAAGTCCAAAAGAAACAAACTAATTAATCCATTCATTCCTGACGAATGTATGGTATGTGTCACATTGCCTAATAATAACCATCATATGTAACATGTCCCAGGCACTATCATAAAGGCTTTATATGCACAATCTCATTTATCCTCTGAGTTCCTAATGAAACAGGCACTCTCATCATAATGCTGTTTTACAGATGAGAAAACTGAGGCAAAGGAAGTTTATGTAACTTGCTACACAGCTAGTGTGGCCATTGCCAGGATTTGAAATGAGGAAGTTTAATTCCAGAGCATGGGGCTTTAAATTGTCACCATGTGTGTACTCTTCCTAACTTCCTTCTTCTATCCCCAAATCTTCATTTCTTTTTTAATGCTCACCCTAGGATATGTTTATTGCTTTTAAAGAGGAAGAAGGAAGGGGCAGAGAGACAGACAGACAGAGACAGAGACCGACATGAGACAGAAACGTCAATTAGTTGCCTCCTGTGTGCACCCTGACAGGGGATTGAACCCAGCAACCTAGGTGTGTGCTGACTGAGAACTGAACCCTCCACCTTTTGGCATATGGGATGACACTCCAACAAACTGAGCAATCTGGCCATGGCCTGTCCCCAAATCTTGATCAATGCCAGCAAAGCCAAGCATTTTAATAAGAGCATAGTTTTCTTATTGGTACAAAACTTATTTCAATCATATTCTCAAACCTCCCAAGA